TTGGTCAGTGATGAGCAGTATACCACAGTGGGCCCATAAGATTAAGCTATTTTTTACTGTACTTTTCCTATGTTTAGATACATACCCCAGCGTTACAATCGCCTGCAATATTCAGTCCCCTCCCATGCTGTCCAGGTGTGTAGCCTAGGAGCAACAGGCTGTGCTGTAGAACCTAGGTGTACAGGAGGCTGGACCATCGAGGCATGTGTAAGTGCCCTGTGATGGTCACACCATCACATCATAATGCATTTCTCAGAACGTATACCCTATGCTGCCTTTGGGTGTTTGCGGCAAGGGGCCTTATGGTGAGACACCCAGCACACTGCCTGCCCCAGAGGGTCCATCCTCTGAAACCATTCCTTAACATATTCTTGAATGTGACCAATATCTGCAGGACTGCTCATCCAAGACAGAAGCCCAGGCCCAGACCTCCACACAGGAGTCCCTCAGAGGCAGCTGAAGCTAATCTCAGAAGGCTCCCTGCAGGAGGCTGGCCTTGACGTCCAAGGTAAGTAGAAGACTTCTGAAGTAAGTAGGGGCTGCAATGGATTCCCATCCCACTTCAAAGGAAGTCCTCAAATGACAGGTGGGTGCAGAACCACCGCAGCAGGATGACAACATTAACAGAGTACTCATCTACACTGAACATACTTTTTGCTTTTCCAAACACCTGCATGTGCGTTATCCGCTTTGATCCTAACAAATGAGATCTTAATACATTCTAACGATGAATATCAGTTTCCTTCCTTCCTCCTTCTCTTTAAGCAAGAAGATGGGCGGAGCAAATGTCCTACCTATTTTCCTAGTAAACCGCCACACAGAAAGGTAAAGTGAGTGATCTTGGGTCACACAGCCTGCAGGCCTGGTCAAATGCTGTGCCTTGTACATCCCTTTGGGAGCCTTGGGTCCTGATTCTCTCTCCACTGCTTCGGGTCCCTCGGTTAATGTGCAAAAAGTTTCTCGCCAGCACCAGCTCCCTTCTAAACCAGACTTCCTGACAGGTTGGGATCCCTCCTCAGTCCTGGAAGTTCTGCAAGATCAGCTGGACTAAACCCCGTGTTCCTAAGACTAGGAATTGAGCCCAGATGCCTGGCACCCAGCTAACAGTAGAAGCAGGCAGCAGAATGGCATGGCGACTTGGAAAGTCACAAGGTCCTGAGTTCAGTCCCAGTCTCACGACTCGCCCATTCAATTACCCTGGACAGCAACTGGTCCTCTCAAAGCTTCAGTATCTTCATCCGCAAAGCAGAGGCAATGTCTTTCTCACTGGCTGGTTGCAAGGATGAAATAAAACGCCCTGTGGGGTGCGTTTGTCAGTCCAGTGCTCTCTCTTACCCAACCTATCTGTGGGCTAGAGGGAACTGTGCCACCACATAGTGGATGAACTGGTGGGGCGTATCAGAGATGACAGTCATACCAGGGAGGAGAGACGGTGCCCTGGGAGCTCATGTTATCTTTCTAGGTTCATAAATGGTGGTGAGAAGACCTAAGAGATTCTTCCTCTTGAACCTCTGTGTGAGTGTGGGTGTGGGTAGGGGTGGGGCGTATATGCACACACTGCCATCATCTCCTCTTTTTAGTGACTGTAGTCACCAATCACTCGCTATGACAGTCACCACATCTCTTCCCTCTGCTGAAGGCAAAGCCTGGCTCTCAAACAGGAAATCAAACCACAGGAGATGGGAGTGGTCTTTGAAGGTTTCCCCTCTGCCCTGGGGAAAGGATCAAGAGACACTCTGGCTGCTGTTTCTGTGAACAAAAATAAGAAATGGTGACTGGCATAGAATTGGAGCTTGCTGGCTGTCCACTGTTTATAACTAATTTAATCCTTACTACCCTGTAAAGTAGCCTTGCTCTCTCATTCGACAAATTAGGAAACTGAGACTCAGAGAGTTTCAATAACTTGCTCAAGTGCACACAACTAGCATGTGTCAGCACTGGGAATGGGGCCTAAGTTCTTTTCTTACACAGTATTGCCAGACCAAGGTGCTAATGTTATAGTTTCTCTCTCTCTCTCTCTCTCTCTCTCTCTCTCTCTCTCTCTCTTATTCCTTATTTAATTTATTTTGTACTGTTGTTCTCACTCTAAGTCAGACTTGAAAGGGTAGAGGGAGGACCACATACCCCTGAGGCCAAGTCAGATGACAGAAACAGAGATCAGAGGAAGATTCTGAAGAAGGACATGAAATTCAAGGTCTGCTCACGACACCTGTGCAGTGTGGCGAGGAGGTTAAGGCACTTGTTTTGGCGTCACAAAGACCTAATTCAAATTCTGGAGTCCTCCAATTAGGGACCCTGGGCAAGTTACCTCACCTCTCCCTGCCTCAGTTTCCTTTTCTGTAAAACAGTACTTCGTGTAAACACTAACTTCTAGAGCTCTGAGAATTAAATGCTGCACAGCGTTCGAGGTGCTTATCCCAGTGTCTGACACATGATAAGCCCATGTCACCAATGACAGTGATTACTAATTCCCCAAGGGCTCTCTTCTGTTCACATCTTCTGTTTTAACAAAGAAAGGCAAAAGATAGATAGATAGATAGATGTGATCAAATGGATAAGATGGTTGGGCTTCAGCTGACATGAGAACCCAGTGTACCAAGTAGGAGAAACAGGGCCCCTCTGTGCTGGCAGAAGAGGCTTCCAGAAGGAGTGGAGGGCAGTGGAAGGCCATTTGGGGCGGGGGTGGGAGCGGCTGAGACCTCCGGGAAAGTAAGGGGAGAAGCAACTGCGAGGCACAGAGAATGAGGCAACAAGGACCCAGTGACTGGACACATAGAGAAATAGTCAACAGCTAAGCTGGAGGCTGGGAGCCACGAGGAGTTTCACAGGGAAGCCGAGCAGAGACATCCCCCTTTACTGAGTGCCTGCTGGGCGCTAAACTCTGCATCCAACAGCTCAGCCTCCACCACACCCTGAGAGGTATCCTGGTTTTGCAAATAAGGACACCGACGCCCAGAGAAGTGAATTAACTTACCTACTAACTGGTAGGGTGGGTCTGGTTGCCTCTACAACACCTAAGCCATACTCTGGCTGAGACATTGATAGGCTCTAAGCCAAACCAGCCCTGCCTTACAGCCGTCATCCTGGGAGCTTAGTAGGCGCCTGTCTTCCCAGACCACTCCCCACCTTCACCCCAGCTCTGGGGATGCCACCAGTCTTCAACCACACCTCATAGATGACCCTAATGAAATGCCAGAATCCCACAGAGTCTGGGCCTCTTGGAGAAGAGGGTTCCCTGAGTAGGCAGCGCCCGGCTGGAGCCCTCCTCTCATGAGAGGCCCTCGGAGTCTCCCTGTCTACTGCACATTGATGGGCAGGAACGTCTATTCGAAACACCTGTCTGGGTGATCCTGACAGGGGCCTGGAGAACACAACCAGCAGGGCCCTGAGGTTGTCATGTGAACCCTCTGGGATCCCCCATCTAAGCAGAGACCAGGCTGAACTTCCCACACCTAATTCCCCAAAGCAAAGCTTCCTTATCTGCCCTCCCGGGAGGGAGCTGGAGTTGGGGTGAGAGGAACGCTGCACTCCCAAGCTCAGAGCTCTGTGGGCATTGTGCATTCCGAGAGAGGGTGCCTTTTGTGAGTTGCTGGCCTTTCCCAAGGACAGTCGCACCTTGCCCCAGCCTTCTCTCTCCGGGGCCCTGGAGAGAGTCGGCCCTGCAGTGATTGCTGCCTGTTCCTGCGGCTCTCCCTGTGGGCGTGGGGACCCGCAGCAGAGTTTCTGCCCCACTGCGCGAAGCACCTGCTGCATCTCCCTGCGAAGCCCAATCTTGGCGAGGTCGTAGGGAGCTGGGAAGCCCAGCTGGAGGAGGGGCGCGCCGGCGGGAGAGGGCGCAAGAAAGGGGTCTGCAGATCTGTCTGGCAGCCTCGTGATCATAGCAACACACCTCCCGCGGGGCTGGATCCCGCCTGGGGCGGGATAGCTGCGATCGATTGTTTCCTCCTTGCCTACTGTACTGTGTTGGCAGGAGCCTCTGGAGAGCTCAACTTCTGCCCTGCCCCTCCCCCAAGCCCACCCTCCAGCGC